CGGAAGGAAGTGAAAAAGAAAATTAAAATACAGTAGAAAAATTTAAAAAAAAAAAAAAATTTTTTTTTTTTTTTAATGAACGGATTGATCAAATTAAAGCACTTAATCAATGAACAATTTTTTTTTTTTTCGTTTTTTAATTTTATTTTTGCTGTGCTGTAATCTACCAATTTTGCATTCAAAAATTTTTCACCACCGGAAATTCAAGTTGACCTATCTTTTGTTTTTTTGCTTTCTTTTTTTATTTTTTTTTTTTTAATTTTTTATAAATCATAAAAATTACTGAACATTTGATAAATACACGTACTCATCAAAATAAATAAATGATAAATGCATTCATTTCTTTTTTGATTATAATATATTTCCAATTTTTGATTCGCATAAATAAAACCTAAAATTAAACGATAAATAAATATGAATGAGGATATGATACATTTATCGAAATAGTAATTTTACACTTTAAATTTGAATTAGTGTAATCATTTCCGTTTGATGAAAAAAAAAAAAAAAAATTTTGTATTAGAAATCATTTGGATACGGTAAATCAAAAATTAAAAAGGAAAAAAGCAAAGCAAAAAAACGATGACACACTTTATCGTTTTGATTTTGTGCTGAAATTTCATGATTTAAAAATTAATTCATAGCTAAAATTTGATGCTATTGTTTGCGAAAAAAGTGATAGCATATCATTTTATCAATTTAATTAGGATAAAAATTTTTAATTTTAACATTTCATTCATTTTTAAAATTTTTTTTTAGCTTTGAAAATTCAAAACAAGTGACTTTTATTTTAATTAAAAAAACTAAATAGCATAAATATATGCTATTTAGTTTTTTCAGTGATAATGTAAATTATTTCAAAATTTGTAGCGAAATAAAGATTTAGTGTTATAATTTAAAACGTATTTAAAAAAAAAGAATTACAGAATTATACTATTCCAAGCCATGTAAATGATAATAGCACTAAAAATTTAATGACAGCACTGCTTTTATCAGTATTATCACAATATTACAAAAAAAAAAATCATTATTGCATGATCAAATTTAATTTTTTTGGAAGAAATTAACACTAAATAAAAAGCATTTCAATATTTGTTGTTTAAGTGAAAATAGTAGTGATAATGATAATGCTGATAAAGTTTCAAAAGATTAGTAGCACAAATATTTTACTTTCATCTTTATCTAAAATGTTGAACAAAATTGATATGTTTCAATATTTACTACAAAATATTTTTGAACGAATTTTTTTTTTACTTCGTACTTTATTAATAAATAATGATAAGTTTATTTTCAAGTCTATTTGTCTATTTTATTAATAAATAATGATAAGCAGTGATAGTATTGATAATGATGATAGCAATAATAATATTAATTGACAGTGATAATAACAATATTAATGATAATGACAACGATATAATATCATTCTATTCAAAATACATATTATTACCAATAAATATGAAAAATTATTATATTCCTTGGAGAAAAATAAAACTGAAATTTAAAATTTATTTCAAAACTTTATTTTACATATTTAATAAATATTATTATTATTATTATTTATGTGATTTATGGTCGTATGGTAATACAGATTATTGCATTAATTGATAATAACTCTTATAATTATTATTAAAATGAAGAAATAAAAACAAATCGATTAAGATTTGAATTTTAATCAAATCAATTAAAATTTAAATTTTAATTTTGCCTTTCTGAAATAATACAAATGGTTAAATTTAAGGCCAAAATAGTTTCCTGCATTTAATCATAATTTGTATTACAAACAAAAAATAGGAGATGGCTTTATTATAATTGTTAATAAATTGTTAACAAATAACAATGACATTCGTAGTAAAATTTTTGATAATTTCATCTTTTAAGTCTTTCAAAATTAATTTTTAATTCCATAAATTGTATCGTTTTTAAATTTTAATGATAGTCCAAAAATGGATGCAATTAGAAAAGAAATTTTTCTGGAGAAATTATCATATAGAAATTATCATTTGAAAATATCATTTAAAATTTCCAAGCAAAAAAAAAAGAAAAATGAATATAATTAAAAAAAAGGATGCAATTTCTTTAGTAATAAAAAGAAGAAATAATATTAAATATATATAAAAAATAAATATCAAAAAAAAAAAAAAATTTAAACGCGAAATAATTACCGTTGCAAATTCAAGCAAAGATCAAAAATTTTTCAGCGATTAAAAGTTGTAGTTTGTAGTTTAATTAATTAAACAAAAGACTAAAGATTAGTTACTTTTCCTATAAACCAGTTTGTTTCATTTCAGCTAAATTATTATTCGTTCATATACAAAAGCAAATACGAAAAAAGAAAGCTGAAAATTATATTAATTATAATATATTAATTATTGTATTAGTTTTGATTTTAATTTAGCAAACCTTTTTGAAAATATTTTTCGTCTAATTTCAAACCACAACTTTTAATCACAACGTTATGTAGCCAATGTAAACAAAAAATTATTGTTAAAACAGGAATTAAATTTAAAAGTTACTCATCAATATGAGACAGAACTGGAATTCAAACTAAGAAATCAAAATGTATTGAGACAAATTTGAAATTAAGTTTGAAACATGATTAATGAAGTACAAAATTTCAGTTATATTTCCATTACTACTGAGTGAATTGATAAAAAAGATGATTTAGATCCAGATCAGTATTCATTATTGGAATTGAATAACTAATTAGTTTTATATTTAGAACTAATTATTTTAAATAATTTGATAAATGCTTTGGAAACATAGGCGCACCATGTTGTTCTTAATATTTCAGGAATTACTGAAGCATTGAATTTATAAAAGTAAGATTTGAATAAATATAAATCGAACTTTTTAATGAACTTGAGTTAATCAACCTTTTGACCTTTCAAAAAATCAACCTTTTGACCTTTCAAAAAATCAACCTTTTGACCTTCCATTTTCCCTTTTATGCTGCAAGTGTTTCTTTTGTTTTTCGAGAAAATAATAGTAGTAATCAGGATAGAAAAAATTTACTTTTATTTACTTAGCTTATTTACTCAACCAAATTTACAGATCAGAACTTCATTCTACATAAACAAAAATAAAAACAAAGAAAGATTCTAATTAAAATGACTAATTACTAGTTAGTAACTTATGATAAGTAAAAAAAAAATCAAAGAATGCTTATAACATTTTCCACTGATTGTTTATATTTATGTCAAAATAATTTAATTATCATAGCAATTATCATATTATTGTTAGTATCGTAATTATTTTAAATATTATATTGTCTAAATTCTGATATAATGGCACTTCATTATCAATGATATTATTATTATCACACTGATAATTCCTACCATCTCATACTTATCATTAATTATAATCATTATGCTAAGAGTTTACATTAGCTGATAAGTTGGTATTATTGTTCAGTAAGTCGTAAAATCGTTATTATTGTTCATTAAGTCATAAAATCGCTATTATTGTTCATTAAACCATAAAATCGTTATTATTGTTCATTAAGTCATAAAATCGTTATTATTGTTCGGTAAGTCAATAAAATCGTTATTATTGTTCGGTAAGTCATAAAATCGTTATTATTGTTCATTAAGTCATAAAATCGTTATTATTGTTCAGTAAGTCATAAAATCGTTATTATTGTTCGGTAAGTCATAAAATCGTTATTATTGTTCAGTAAGTCATAAAATCGTAAGGACAAAATTTTCCAACAAAATCAGCAAATTATTTCAAACTTACTGATTTCTTTTGAATTTGCATTATCTTTCAGAGAATTGATAAGATTTTGAATATCAGATAGTCTTCGCATATTATAATTTTAAAATTGAAATGATAAGAGAGAGAGAGAGAGAGAGGGACAGACAGGAAGATGGGAAGGAAGGGACAGTAGGAGAGAGAGAAAAGAAAGAAGAGAAAAAAGGCAGAAGAAAAAAGTTTATTTAGCGAAACAAGGATTTACATCATTTTTTGACAAAAAGAAAGCAATTTAAACAATGTGGAAAGTGCAGAAGTGAATTAGAGAAATAGATAGTAGCAACGATAATGATGATAATAATGATGATATTGATAGTGATAATAATGATAATGATGAACTGAACAGCAAGAAATAAAATTTCGTAAGTATTTCCGGCTAATAATGATTGTAGCAATAGAAATTATCAAATGGCAAAAGAAAAGAAAGGAAAGAATTTTTTTTTTTTTTGAAGAAAAATTTTTGGAAATGATAAGAAAAACGAAAAACTGGTTCTTTTTTTTTTTTTTTTTTTTTTTTGTTGAGAAATTATCAAAATGAAATTAATGTTTAACGTCGATCACTGATAAATGAAAGACAAAAATTGGACAGGAAAAATCATTTCCGTCCAATCATCTTCTTCCATCTCCTCCTTTTTTCTATCAAATAGATTAAAATGATTTCTACCCGGATATACTATTGGAAAAAAAAAAAGAGAGAGAGAGAGGTGAAAAGTAATAAATAGCAGGTAACGAAGAAAATTAATTCAGTTCATCCATTTCTGATGATGATAGTTTTATGAAATGATTAAATTTTTTTTTTTTTCTTTCAATTAATTCATTAAAATTTACACTTTAATATTCGAAATATATCTTTCAAAAATTGCTACAGTTTTATTTAGTTATAATCATTTGTTATTAAAATTTTTGTATTACTTTAATAAAATTCAAGTTTAATCTAGGTTTCATTGCTTACAATGTTTTTCGATATAAGAATTCAAATATATTTTTTATAGTTTACAAAAATTTTTAATTTTAAATTAATACAATTTTGTTTAATTGCAGTTTTTTTTTGTATTAAAATTTATTTTTGTCAACAAAATATTAATATATTTATTGTGCAATATAAATAGATGTTTCGCAGCAAAAAATGACATATTTTTACCAAAATTTGTCACTGATATACGTACATTTGCGCATTTATAAATAGTTTTGTCAATTTGAAAATTTAGTTTCAGCGAAATCAAAAAAAATATTTGTAAATCAACAAAACGATGAATAATTATAGCATTGCCTTATTTACGATATGTTTTACTGGTAAGATTTTTTTTTTTTTGTTCACTTCTTATTCCTTTACAATTCATAACTTAGAATTCTTTAGTCAGGATAACAAAATAATAGAATATTTGAAAAAAATTTATTCAATCATGCTTTATTCAATGTTTTTTTTTAAAACACATTCAAAAACGCAACTTATCCATGAATAATTGATTAATTAATTAATTTGATCTTGTATAGTGATATAATTTTATTTATTTAGTAAACAATTAATATTCCGAGAAACAAATTTTTTTTTGTTCATATAAATAATAAAAAAAATCTAAATTTGTTATTTAAAATATTTATTTAAATTGTTATTTAAATATTCATATATGGGAGTAAAGTAAAGTTATGTACATGGATTAAATTTCATGTCCACAATTTAAATAATTCAACTTTTATTATTAAATGAAAAGTCAGTACTCCGTTGTCATGCTTTTATCAGCTAGAACTTATCACATGTCACACTGATACTAAAAAAAAACAGTTATTCCGGAAGTGACATCCGGAAGGTCAAATTTAAATAATCAAATTTTATAATAAATCATTTTTATTGGACATTTATGAAACATGTCATTCAATATTTTCACTATTTTATTTCTGTTAATAAAACACTTTGCACTTTTTCATTATAATTTTTTTTTTGAATGACTGATTGTAAAAATTGCCAAAGAATAAAAATAAAAATTGGAAAATTTTTGAAAAATCGATTAGTGAATTATTTTCAGTTGCATTATGCGCTATATGTGATGAAGGATGGCGATTTTCACCACATTCCAAAAAATGTTATAAATTTTTTCCTAAAAAAATAACTTGGACTGAAGCTGAATTTCATTGTCTAATACAAAATGGACATCAATTATCAGTACATAATTCGAGAGAGAATCGATTTGCTAAAGGTAATACATTTGTTTATTTTTTCGTTTTTATTTATTTATAATATTGATAAAATAATTTATAAACCAATCTGAAATACAATACTTGTAAAATAATATAACTACAAAATAATCTTTTTTTTTTTTTAATTTTTCATTTTCATCTACTTTTTTAATTTTTCATTTCCATTTGAAATGAATTAGAAATAAGATCGATAATGAAAATTCAGATTAACGTCATAATTTTAAAAAATGAAAAAAATAAAAACAAAATTAGTGAGAAAACTTCAAAATTTTCAAACTAAAATTATTTCAATTGACAAATATATCATTTCCCATTGATATAATCCCACATTTAAATTTGATTGTAAGATTAAAAATGTTAATTTGATTTTAACTGTTAATTATTTTAGAAATAGCTCGTGATGCGCCTGAAGTTTGGCTTGGTAGTGCAAAATTTGGAAGGACAGCTCAATTTGAATGGTCTGATAAAACACCATTCAATTTTAAAGGCTGGAAAAATGGTTATTTTCAAATTATTTATCGTTTAAAAGTTTTTATTCACCATAATTAATAAATATAATAAATTCGAAAGTTTTTTTTTTTTTTTTTTTTTTTAATATATTTCATAAAGTCTTTGCAAATTTTTTTTATTCTTCATAGTCAAAAAAATGGTTGAATTTTTTATGAATTAATAATTAATATCTAATAGTTTTATCTTATTTATCATGTGATTAATACTGCTTTGAGCGTTAGCTTATAATTTACTAATTTGAATTTATTTTGTAAAAATCAATGTGTCTTTTCTTAATTTGAACTGTAAAAAATTAAAAAAAAAACCTGAATTAAAATATTGGTAAAACTTTTAGGTCAAATACCAGTAAGTAAATTAATTAGGCCATGCACAAAAATGAATGTCACAAGCGGTGAATGGTTTCAAAGTTGTTGTCGAATAGTTGCGCCATACATTTGCCAAAAAGATTCGCAACCTAACAAATCTTATACTAGCAATATACAGGTAACAAATTAATTATCTCAAAATTTTAAATAAATTTTTTAAATTTTTTGGCACAAAAAAAGTTTACAATTGTAAATGCTACAAAAAAAGAAAAAACTATCAATTCTATAATTTTTTACATTATAGAATTATGAGATGTGTATTAATTATGAAAGTTAAGAAAGTATGCGTTTATTTCATTTAAGAAGGTAGCAAATTAATTATCACAGAATTTTTGATATTCAAACTTTAAGAAATGATATTTAAGTGATAATACTTTATCACAGTATAATTTATAATATAATTCTGTTGCAGAAGAGCTATGATACGATTCGGACGAATGACAAATATTCTATTGTAAATCAACAATGGCGATTTTTAGTACGGAAATAATAATAATAATAATAATAGTAATAATAACAATATTAATAACATATTAGTAATAATAATAATAATAATATTAATAACATATCAGTAGTAATAATAATAATAATAATGACATATATTATTAGTTGATTTATTTTTTCTTTTATGTCTAAAAATTTGCTTCATGCTTTAATTCACTACTGCATGATTAATTTATCATTTCTTTTTCAGCCAAATTTATTAGCCCAAATCAAATTAATTTCAGCCTAAATTAATCAGCATAAATTTTTATCAAATATTAGTACAATTGGAAACAAAAATCAAATTACAAAAATTTATGAACAAATTCTAGCAAAATGAAAGAAAAAACAAATAATGGAAGTAGAAATTAACAAAAGCTATTAATTATATTGTTAAAATTAGCAATAAAACTATTTCATATGATATAGCTGAAAATGAAACTTTTAAATTTTCTATTCTTTAATAATTTATTTTGCTAGCAATTTTATAACATATCATTCAATTAATAATTAGTAACGGGTTTTTTCTTCTTTTCTTCGGTTGCCATATTATTTGACAAAATAAATGTACCATAAAATATTATATATCTTTTCTTGATTTTTCTAAATTTTGTGCACGCTGAAAGCTCTTTTTTTCTTAATGCAATTTTAATTTAGCAGTGAAATTGTTAAGTCCTTTTAATAATTTTATTATTTGTTATGTTTGTATTTTTGTTTTATTACTTAATAGTTATATACGATAAACATATTACTTAGAAAGAAAATGAATATATATGTGTATAACACAATGTTTTGTTTTATATATATAATATAAACAATAATATTGATATGATAATATTTGATAATATTATTTATTTTTTTTAGGTGCCTTACTTAGTTAAATAGTGTTGACAACTAATATTTTTACTGTTATACTGGTTACATGTATATTTGTTATCGTTTTTCCAATTTTCATTCTTGTGTCTGTATTTGGATTTGTTTACTTAATGGATATATATTATATTTAAAGGATCTGACATTTTCGTCTTTGTTGTACTAATTATTATGACGAAATGAAATGCTTAAATAAGCCATTATCACCGTATGCTTCGTTTTTAGCTTAGCTTCATTAGCTTCGAGAATGAAAATTTGTGTATTAATCTATGTTTGTTACAAATGCGCCAGTGGCTAAAAAGGACACTATGAGATAAGTCAAATTATGTTGCAAAAAATGCAAAGAAAAGTCTCATCGGATTCAGTTCTTAATGCTTGTCCTTCCGTCATGACACTTAACGATATTCATTTTCAAAGACGGCGACGTCCTTATGGGTGACAGTTTTCATGTGTTCTGATTTGAGGTCGGGATGGACTACTGATGTAGTCAATATAACTTTGGCCAAGAGATTTCTTCAATGATTGTTAGCACCTGTTTTTTGGGATATATCTACTACAGTGTGCTGACTGATCATATAGCAAAATCTTAGGGAGAGGATATCTGTCCTCAAGACTGACTTGCTAAATAAGGATTCATATCCTAAAGTAGGAAAACTTCAATAGTGTGGTCAATTGCTTGTTAGCGTAATGAACTATTAAAGGAGATGGTGACAAGTGGTGACAGAAAACCATGATTAGAATCGATATAGAGAGTAGACGATGAACAGCTCTGTAAACATTGATGGTACTTCTATTAATCAAAAACTGCATTGGCTCTTTGATAAAAATGCTTCTGCAGTAGTAGATACCATTCTAAGTGCATAATAGCTTATGGAAATTAAATAATTGACCTCTGCTTTCAGATTTCACATGGAATTCCATCAAGCCTAGATGTTTTGGCTGTTATGTGGATTTGAGAGTTGTTTTGCAAATTTTTTTTCACCGATTATTATATGTTATCTTTAATTAATAGGTCTTCACTTGGACTGAAGAGAAATTGAAAGTGTCCAGCTATCAGTTCAGAATGAAAATGAAAATGAGTTGAGTGGAAGCTTTGTACCTTACCTGTCGTGAAATGGGGTCTGATTTGAGTAATTTATAGAGCCAAATAGGGAGTACTTTGTGAAGTAGCAATGTTTAACAGTAATCTTAATTTTATTGAGATAAAATTATCATTAATCGAAATTATTATTAGAAAAATTGAGGAAGTACATCTGAGGGAGAGGAGAGAGTGTACAACTTCCGAAGTGCAATCGAGAAAAACTACCTTCATTCCTCTATTTAACTTGTAGAATAGGAGTGGTTTATAACCAAGCACTGATTACCGTATGTAAAGAGCTTCCGTTCCGGATAATCTTTACTCTCTCATTACATCAATTACTCATAAGACTGAATGTCAAAATAGCAGACTCTTACAATTTTTAGATGTTAAAAGTTAAGTCTAAGTTTGGCTGTTAGGTTCGAAAATCTTAGTAATAAAATTGGGAGCAATTTTCAACATCTTTGTGAATACAGTAGAATTCCAAACAATTTAGATGAGTTTTAGATAAAGAATTTCTTAACTGAAACATTTATCTAAGAATTATTCAAATAAGACAATCTTTAGTCTTATGAATTCAACACAAATTTATTTCGACATATTCGATTCTTTCTTCAGGTAGTTATTCAATGCATTTCAGAACTCTCTAGAGCCTTCTGCAATTAGAATTCATGTTAGAATATTACTGACTCATCATCTGTTCTTGATGTTCCGAAATATCTATAAAGCTTGCAGTATGTAAGGTTGCTTTTCTTGCAAGACGGGTAGGTGAGCAAAGAGTTCAGAGTACCTGGACTTCTAGGTCCTTTGAATTCCTTTGATGAGCACTCTAGGCATTTTATGGTGAACTAAAGGATGCTATTTTTAATTTGCAAGTTTGGGCCATAGCAGCGAAATATTGAGGTAGTAGGTCGATCTGTTAGATGAATAACTTTAAAGGGTTAAATGAGTTCCATCTGCCCGCATCCGAAATTGTCACTGTTTAAAATGACTGCCCAAGGGCTGCTGGTTAGTCCATTCTGCCCGACACGGTCGTAAACATATTACATATATTTGATAACTGTTTTGTTTGCATTACTAACTGAAATAATACAAAAATATTTGATTTTATTCATATTAAATGATGAGTAGTAATGTGAAATCAATCTTTGATTATAAATATTGAATTACCATTCTGATTCACATGCAAGGAAGTATTCTTCGGTAATACTGCTGGACAGATTTTCAATGAATTCTTTATGGAGAACTGCTGATGCTACTTTTTACGTTGTCAAAGTGCTGCTGGAAGGGAATACATTGAGTAATCTGTATGTTTGGTTTAGAGTTTAGACTGGGAATTATCTCATTGCAGCAATTCTGAGATTGTTGCTAGTATTGAAAACAAAGGAAAGTTTATTGAAAGACAAATATCTTTGTGTCATTTATGTTCATTGTTTTACATTTGCACCAGCAGAAGCCGCCATAAAGAGACTAATTCTTGTGATCTTATAGCGAGACTGTTCATTTATAGAAATTTATTTGGGTTGGATGTTATTATCGATGTCGTTATTACAGCTGTCTTATTGAGATCCTAATTGCCAAATTCATTGCAGTATTAAGCATTTTATAAGAATAAAGGTTTGACAAATCGAGAACTAAAAGGGAAGAATTGACTCTCTCAGTCTTTCCATCACGATAGAAAGAATTGTTGACAAATTTGACGTCACAAGCCAGGAATGAAAGCATCGGTAAGTAATTCAACCAGATGCATAAACAAGGATGAAAAGCTCATGTTATACCTTATTAGAACGAATTTAAACAAACTTACGCCGATAGATAAATTAGTTTTCGAAAAGATAGAAAATGTTTATGCAGAAGAAATACAAGAATTAAGTAATCAAAATAAGTCGAAATCTTTAGAAAGAAGAGTACTCATGAATAGAAATTTAAAAATAATTGAAAGAATCATTTCCAAGGCAAATATATTAACAAAGAAATGCAAAGAAGCATTACGATCTGTTAAAGACAAAAAAGTTTGCGAGTCGAATGCTTATTCAGTAATTGTCACAAATCGCTTTCTATTCGATCTTTTCTAATTGAAATAGATCGGATACGCTCATTGTGTGAGAAAAATCAGCAAATAATGGATAAAACGCAAAATTAATTAAAAACTTTAATTGAACTAATCAAGAAATTAGTAACGACAAGTAAGAAACCCTCCAGAAATGAAGAAAGGATTTGATGGAAATCATTTGTAAGTCAATTTGAAGATGCAATTGATAAAAGACATTACAGCTATAAATGAATTTGTACACTTAATTGGAGGTTTCAAAGCAGAGACATTAGAATACGTAAGTAACTTACTGTCAATGATTATTGGCTTAGAATACGTAAGTAACTTAGCTGTCAATGATTATTGGCTTAGAATACGTAAGTAACTTAGCTGTCAATGATTATTGGCTTAGAATACGTAACTTAGTTGTAAATGATATTGGCCATGAGAAATTTGAAAAATAGTGGAATTATGCAGTTGCGTTACAGAAATTGGGCAGGATTAGACAAAAATTTGATAAGGGAACTACCGAATATTCTCTCCAAATTAAAAACATTAGAGGAGAACAATGAGATAAATAAGCTGTGGACTACCTTAACTGATAAGCTGCCGGATTATCTCTTTTGCAATCCTGATAAAGGAGAAGTGGACGAAGTCTCGATAATGGAAGTTATAGTAATATTAGAAGGGTAAATAAAAGTTATACAGTTCTAGAAATCACGAAAAAATCCAGCAAATGGAAATTTGAAAGAAAGACATCATGAAATGAGTTTTTAGCTTTCAGAACACAGTCTAAATTTATTTATCAATAAATAAAAATGAATAACTATTTGTGCGACAGCACTCAAACCCTCAGTATATAAGATTATGTAAAACGACCGGAAGAAAGGCAAAAAGTCTTTGGCATTTTCTGCTATTTATCAGTTCAGTTGAATGATAACCGAAAAGTAGTAGCGAGACTAGAAAAGTTAAAGGATTCGAGATGATGCAAGCAATGCTCAAGTTTCATCCAAAGAAAAATACTATTAAATACTTAAATATTAAATATTTCACAGATCAAAACAGTACGCTGTGTCGCGTACTGAGAGAGATGCAGCAAGACGGAAATTCCATCGAGATGGAGAAGCAATCTCAAGAAAAGTCGAAAATAGAAGTAGAATTTGGTTAAGAGGACAAAACATGAAGAAACGATGTTAGTTATTCCATGCGACCGAGAAGGACATTAATGATTTTGGATATGAGAAGCGATTGCAAATTGGTCACTGAAATAATGGCCAACAAATTAGGTCTGTTGTTAGACAAATCTAGTAATTAAGTAAAGATTACAGGTATTGTTAGTAACATTAGGAACTAGAACATCATCGGGAACTATAAAGAATACTCAAACAGATACTACAGAATTGATTATAATCTGGAAATGGGCCAAGATGAAAATGGCAATCAGTAAAATAACGAAGTCTGAAAGATAGATTAGGAGAATGAAGAGAATCATGATAACTCAGTGAACTAATAAAAGGAAAAGTGTAAAGTAGAGATTATTGCAATCGAAGAATTGATGACAAAACAGAGGGAAGCACTGAATGCTTTCAAAGGTTTATACTATAACTAAAGATGAAAAAGGAAGATGTGTGAGATATGGTTCATTCTTAGAGTATTCCATCAATGCATTAGGATTCATTGAAGTTTAAAAGTGTTTGGTATTATTCATGGCACAAATTAGAATGAACAATTGTTGGTCATTAGCATGTACACTTTTATCTTATAGAATTAAACTAATTGTTTGAAATCGCTTTTGTTTTTCCTTTAGTTTTTATTTGCCATCTAAGTTACACAGAGTTACTGAATATGAATATGAATACTAGATATATACGATTTTTATATCTTTAAAAGAAATTAGTATATTTCCAATATTCATATTATTAGGATCAAACCGATTTTTAGTTGGTTTACTCATAGTCAAAGTTTCTCATCAATTATATCAGCTCGAGATACTGTGATATTAGATAAAATTATTGTGCTGAAATTGCTGAACCAAAAATGTTACTAAATAAACAAATTATATTGCACAAATGATATCTTTGCTGTTATATAATAAAACTGTCAGATTGCTTAGATCCAATAGCATAAACTTAAATTTAAACAACACACTGAAAATCACATTCAAATGTAAGTTTTCTTTCATCAAAATTTCTACATCGAAAAATTTTATATTTCTGTATAGATTGCTTATTTTTTTCCATTGTAAAATTTTATTACAGAAAGTTAGTTATTGTTTAGATCAGCTCGATACTTCGGTTAGAAATTAGTAAAGCAGGAAATCACTGAACAAGTTCATGTGGAAATATCGAAAAAGAAATTATAAATTGCGGCATGTTGACATGTGAATTTGATTTAGAGGAAATGAAAACAGAATCAGATTTCCCAGAAAAAAAGAAATCATTTATTGTTGATGCTTGGTTGTTTGAGAAATGATTATTTTTGGAACTGGACCAAATAGTTCAATTGTTGTTTTAAACTTTGGAGAAGACTTTGCTTGCTTTTCAGAAGTTCTTCAAACACAGACTGTTGTTGTTGGAGATCCTGCTGAAGTGAAGGCTGCTTCTGCTGTAGTTGTTGGAGAAGTTGTTGTTGTTGTTGCATAAGTTGTTGGAATTGGACTTGTAGCTGGAGAAGTTGTTGAAGAAGATTAGGTATTTGCTGAGGTTTTAGAAGCATTTGTACAACAAGTTGTTGTTGTTGCTCCACAAGTTGTACTAGAAGTTGTTGTTGCTGGAGGAGCTGCTGAATAAGTAATTGTTGCTGTTCATATTGCTGAAGAAGTTGTTGTTGTAGCTGTAGAAGTTGTTGAAGAAGAGATTGTTGTTCTTGAAGTAATTTTTGATAATAAGGCGGCTGTTGTAGTAATTGAATCAGTAGCACTTTATGTTGAAGCTGTCGAAAGAGTTGTTGCCCCTGTTGTTGAAGTTTTACAGATATATTACGGAGTTGCTGAAGCAGTTGAAGATGTTGTTCTTGCTTCTGAATTTGATTTTTAAGATTATTTTGATCTTGATTTCGAGATTGCTCGTGATTTTGTTCCATTTGTTTTTGAAGGTTAAGCGCTTCTTGATGCAAAGTCGATGGCTGCAGTGTTTGTTTTAGTTGCTGCTGCAAAAATTGTTGAAGAATAGGTTGTTGTTCTTCGAGTAATTTTTGCTGATCAGGTAGTTGTTACAGTAAAGATTGGACAGTTTGTTGTCGTTGAAGAAGTTTCTGAAGAATAACACGCTGCTGGTGCTGAAGTTGGTTCAGAAATGGTTGATGATATTGAAGTTGTTGAAGGATAATCTGCTGTTTATGAAGAAGTTGTTGTATATTTTCACAGCCATACTGATGTTCAAGTTTCTTACTAAATTCCTGCTGCCGTTGAAGACGCTCCTCAAAGTGCGAATGGTTTTGTTGTAGTTGTTCGAGTAGCTGTTGAAGTTGTTGGTGAGGTGCAGGGTTTTGTTTTTTTAGAAGTTCCTGGAGAAGAGACTGTTCATTTTCTATTTGTTCGACAAGTTGCTTTTGTGTGAGAAGTAGTTGAGAAGGTGATTTTTTCTTATTTTCGGTTGACAATGCTGTCATTGTTGTTGAAGAAGAAACTGTTCTTGCTGCTACTGTCTGAGTTAATGTGAAAAAGGTTGTTACTACCGTAATTCCTGGAATTGTTGCCTAAAAAAAAACTAGAAAATAGAAATTACAAAATTAGTGAAAGTGAAAATATTGATTTATAGAAACTCACAAAAAGATACCTTAATCTTCTATGGAACGCATGAAACTAGAGCCTATCTCAGTGGAAAAGATCATAAAAAAATATTTCATTCAAAAAAATCATTCTTATTCAGATGTGAGTTTACTAGAAGTTTTACTGATTGAATCAAGCTATTTCAAGAAATTACTATTTCAGCTGAAACATAGATTCCCAAAAAATTGAAATAAATTTAATACCTTTGTACAAGATGAAAAAGCAATGATAAGAAGGAAAATGATTCCTTTCTTCATTTTCACCATCTCGACTAATCAAATTTGAACTAAAAGAAAGTAATGGACTGTGAATCAAAACAGTAAAAACTTGCATCTTTGATGTTTTCAACTGAGTGTAGCAATTTTAAACATTGACTAACAATCATTCAAATCAACAATACAAGTGTACTATATGGATTACCAAGCACCAAGCAATTTATGAATCGAGAAATCTCGGTCAAATTCTTTTCTTACTTTTTAAGGCAGTGAAATTCTCCCTCCAGAATCGCATAATATTTCTAAAAGGGTTTCATTCTACAAAAGAACCTTCTCCTTATGTAACTTTGAGAAAGTATGAAGAAGCATTAAGTTTTCTAATTTTTGCCCAGTGGGAAAGCCCTGGAATTGTTGTCACACTGAGTAATTTGATTTTTGTTGCAAAATTTAAAGACATTTATGTGTCACTTGTTTCATTCTGCTTCTACAGAATTTTCTAGTTGAAATGGAAATTGAATTGAAGGCTTTGTGTTCCGAAATTATATTTCTCATCCAAAACTTGGGAACAACATGCATTGCTTTCAGAAGATTCACCGCATTATTGTTCTTTCTATTAAAATAGATGAATTTTTTTACAATAAAATAAATTAAAAGAATGCTTTGATTTCTTAGTTTGTTATAATACAAACTTTTCTGATATTGAAAAACGGTTTTTGTCTTTACTCAATGCTTCTGCCTCTTTCTTTACTTTAAAGGTATTACCAAAAACGATTAAACGGGTCGCCCATCAATTTTGGCATATCGGTGACAGACTGTTAAAGGTGAAATAAGGTTGCTAATTCTGAAATAGTGTTGTACATACACATTACATTAGCATTACACAGGTGTTTGCATACTTGCATGCAGTTGAATATTTAAAATTTATTATGGGCAGTTGGGATTTATCAAACTGTGCGTAAGTCACTAATAATTTGGAAATGAAATGGGCGATGTGCTCTACACAAATTGAAAATTTGAAAAAAAGTTATTTGTTTCTTTGAGAAGCTTATTTCATCACTGATCAGTTCTGAACTTTTTCCTTTCTTAATGTACTGTCATTTGAAACATCTTTTTCCGTTTCATTTGCTGAACGACCGATACTTACTACTTGCTCTCCTTTTTTCTTATGCATTCTAGAAAGTTCAGTGATAGTTTGCTTTGTTCCCAGAAGTGCATAATAGCTTATGGAAATTAAATAATTGACCTCTGCTTTCAGATTTCACATGGAATTCCATCAAGCCTAGATGTTTTGGCTGTTATGTGGATTTGAGAGTTGTTTTGCAAATTTTTTTTCACCGATTATTATATGTTATCTTTAATTAATAGGTCTTCACTTGGACTGAAGAGAAATTGAAAGTGTCCAGCTATCAGTTCAGAATGAAAATGAAAATGAGTTGAGTGGAAGCTTTGTACCTTACCTGTCGTGAAATGGGGTCTGATTTGAGTAATTTATAGAGCCAAATAGGGAGTACTTTGTGAAGTAGCAATGTTTAACAGTAATCTTAATTTTATTGAGATAAAATTATCATTAATCGAAATTATTATTAGAAAAATTGAGGAAGTACATCTGAGGGAGAGGAGAGAGTGTACAACTTCCGAAGTGCAATCGAGAAAAACTACCTTCATTCCTCTATTTAACTTGTAGAATAGGAGTGGTTTATAACCAAGCACTGATTACCGTATGTAAAGAGCTTCCGTTCCGGATAATCTTTACTCTCTCATTACATCAATTACTCATAAGACTGAATGTCAAAATAGCAGACTCTTACAATTTTTAGATGTTAAAAGTTAAGTCTAAGTTTGGCTGTCAGGTTCGAAAATCTTAGTAATAAAATTGGGAGCAATTTTCAACATCTTTGTGAATACAGTAGAATTCCAAACAATTTAGATGAGTTTTAGATAAAGAATTTCTTAACTGAAACATTTATCTAAGAATTATTCAAATAAGACAATCTTTAGTCTTATGAATTCACTACAATCAAATTTATTCGATTCTTTCTTCAGGTAGTTATTCTATGCATTTCAGAACTCTCTAGAGCCTTCTGAGGTTAGAATTCATATATTACTGACTCATCATCTGTTCTTGATGTTCCGAAATATCTATGAAGCTTGCAGTATGTAAGGTTGCTTTTCTTGCAAGACGGGTAGGTGAGCAAGGAGTTCAGAGTACCTGGACTTCTAGGTCTTTTGAATTTCTTTGATGAGCACACTAGTCATTTTAAGGATGCTATTTTTAATTTGCAAGTTTGGGCCATAGCAGCGAAATATTGAGGTAGTAAGTCGGTCTGTTAGATGAAAAACTGTAAGAGGTTAGATGAATTTTATCTGCCCGGATCCGAAGTTGGCTGCCCGAGGTTAGTCCGTTCTACTCATCGACACACTTCGACTTTCGATTCTTTAGTTGAAGACTATCTGGCGTGGAGTGAAAGGTACGTAAGTTCCTTTTGCTAGCATACACAAGGAGGAGTCCAATGAGGATATATATATTTGATAATTATTTCATTTGCAACAATATTTAAAATAATACAAAACAAAAATATTGGATAATTTTATTCATATTAAATTGTTAATAGTAGCATAGCAGCAATTTTTAATTGACAATTATCAAATTACCATTTTGATTTGCATACAAGAAAACATTCTTCAGCAGCACTGTTATGATATTTCCGCATTTCATCCAATATTTTGATAAGCTCTATGCGATGCTTTTCTTTTTTAGATTGAATTGTACCTAAAGCTTCAAAAACCTGCAACAATTTAAAGTTATTATTTAATAAAAATTTCCATAAGATTATTTTAAATGATAATAAAATAACTAAATTTGAAATTTGTTACGCATGAAAGGAAGGGTTATTAATATGTCATCCATTTGATCTAATAATATTTAAATAATAGTAATAATCATACTCCTTATACTTTGCCTTAATTAAATTTCAATTTAAATGTGAAATATTTGTTTATTTAATTTTATTTCAATAAAAATATTTAAATTCCATTTCTCTAACCTCATCTGATTGTTCCTTAAATTTTGCAATTGCTTTATTGCAACTTTCTTTTTTTTGTTCCGTTGGATTATTCGCATATTCATGTTTTGCAAAATCCATTTCTTGTCGACGTTTGATGAGTTCTTGACGCTGATTATTTAATACTAAGATCATTATTATTTAATAATTACTATTTACGCAAAATATTTTAACAATTTTTTTTCTTCCTTATCAATTATTATTATTTTTTTTTTTGCTTAGGTATCAATAATATAACATTCATTTAATAATTAGCAACTATTTTTCTCTACACAAATTATTCACTAAATAATTATTAATCATTTATGTCGTTCAATTTTTCATTGATATTTTTTTGTTTAACCTAACCGTATTTCTTGGTTTAAAATTTTTGTTTAATTAATTATTCTCATCCATTTATTGTTTTCCAATAATTTTCATTTATTTACCCTATGTATTTGTTGTTAACATCCAAAAATTATTTATTACTTATGCAATAACTTTAATTATTCTATTTCAACATTACTAATATGACAATTAACTTATTGCAGATGACTTTAATGCTAATAATTCCATCATTTGTTACTCAACCCTTTCTTAATAGTTATAATATAATGTCATATTAGAATAATTATAAATCAATGATTGATATAGTAATTAAAAATCAATTATTGGTAATGAATAATAATCTTTATTATTATTCATCATCATTCATCAATATTATTCACTATTAATCGTGATTTCATTTTTCAGTAGAATATTATGATAAATGATTATAGTTAGCATATAATTATTAAACTTATAATTAGCAAATATAAGAAACGCATATCTTACACACATAATCAACATTAATAAATGTTCGAATAAAATGAATAGCTCGACGTCCTCGTTTGCAGTAAGATCGACGTAACTCGGCTAATTTTATGCATGCACGAATGCATGCCTGAAATTATAATTAAACTTGCAAAAGTTCAAAACAAATGCCAAAAATTGTAGAAAAAAGCAAAATGCAAAATTATTATTATTATTATTATTATTATTATTATTATTATTATTATTATTATTGAAATATCTTTTTCTCTCTGTTCTAATTGAAGAACTACTAACGAGCAGTAAATAGCATTAAGTTTAAAATTAAAGCTCAATTAGTTATGAACACTTATGCTATATTGATTTCCTTTTTATCGTATTTTAAAATTTTCTTTGCTGAATTTATAAATTATTTTTTTGTAACTATACGAAAAATATTTTTGATTTTCACTAAATTATTAAGTTATCAAAAGTGCATCTAGCATATGTAATGATAAATAAACTTTAGTGGCATAATTAAGTTTAAAATTTTTGACATATCTAATAATTAATAATGGTAATTATAATTATATATGATTCTGTTAATTATTTTAGATTATAGAAACCTCAAGTGCTGGAATATGAGCTGAAAAATTTTCTCTCATTGCTTCTAATGAAACGCTTAATAATTCCGTAGGATCTTGATTTAATGGACATTCAAATTCCATTTTTGATTCTGCTTCAGGTACTAATTTCGGATTTTGTTGCAACACATGCATAATGCTTTCTGCTAATTTGCATAACATTTCCTTAATTAATAATACTGAAGGCAATATTTTAGCCTAAATCTGCGTTTTTCTTTTTTTTTTTTTTTTTGTTTTTTAACGAAAATATATTTTCGAATTTAGCTAAGCTAAAATGATTATGTAGATATTGATTAATTATGATAAGAATTAATTTTTATATGGATAAATGGAAAAACCATTCAAAATTGCTTAAATTAGCATACAAATATTAAGCATACAAATATATATATATATCTAATATTAAGTTACTAAGCAAAATAAAAAAAAAAAATATTTTTAAATTTTTTTGAAAAAAATGAAAAGTTCGGTGAACATTCTTTGAATTAGTCATTCGTAATTGATACATTATGGTAATTAGTAAGTACATCATTTTATGTTATATGAATCAGATAAAGTTATTGCTGAAAGTTTTTTT